GTTTCTTGCATTACAGCCCATTCTTCAGATGGCTGTTGCCAAATGCGCGAAAATAAGCGATATGTTTGTTTGCGGCTGGTGCTGCAGGTGTTAGGTTCCACTGAAAAGGATTCATGTGCGGACGCAATGGTATGAGGACACAGGCTGAATTTATTAATGTGCACAGAGAGAGAGCCAAAGGGTTGGAGAGGTAGCGGGGATTTCCAGGCACGGAGAGAATCCGACGACGGTGTTTCTGGTTTCTGTCCGGGCGGACAGACAGGCAAGCGGGCTGAGAGCAGATAGGCAACGACTCCGCACACGGGGTAACTGTGAGACGAAAAAACAAGACGTTAGGGGAGATCGCAGGAAGTACTCAACAAAATATGTAGAGTGGCCGGAGCAATATACCACTGTAGGTAAACTGACGAACTGGCGACGAGTGGGAGCTGAACCAGAGCTTAAGACTGCTGGAGTTGATGAGGGTGATGAGCCACAGGTGCGGAGCGCTGCAGGTGGAGCTGAGCCAGGCCCGGACACGCCCATACACACACAGACAGGACAAGGCAGACACGACTGACAGAGACAGCAGGGAAGGGAAACACTGGGAACACAAGGAAAAGAGGGGAAGGCGAAGCCAAACCATAACAGCAGGAGCTTCAACATCAGGAGTAAAAGAGCTGGGCAGAAGAGGAGTCACAAAGTGAGCAGAGTGAGAGAGAGAGCAGGAGGAGAATGGAGGTGAAGCGGTAAGCATGGAGTAGCTCAACCTGCAGGGAGGAAGGGTCATATACACTGGGGACATGTAGCCATCACTTTTTGAAAGCATTTGTTAAGCAAAAAATAATAATAAGCTACTGATTACTGCATAACATTTTATGATATTTTTACATTGTGAATTGTCACCTGCCACCTGAACTTTGTGCTTCCCTTTATAAAAATGACATTTCTACCACAAATTGGTGCAGAAAATGTCTCCAGAATGCAATTAATGCTCAAAATCTTCTGGAGGAGAACCACCAAACCCCCCTATTCAATATTTCTATTAGGTCTATTAAAATATACTCTTACCAATCTTGTGCAAAAGTCAGTGTTTCATCACACCGAATGGACCGAGTGTATTGGCGAGGGGTGTCTGACCGATTTCGGTGGGCCGTCTCGGCCAAAAATGTCAGGGCCGATTTTTTTGTCCCAGTCCAGCCCTCTCCCTCCCCCATCTGCCTGTTTTCCTGTTCCAGTCTCCTTATCTGATCATGCAGAGACCCCCTGTAACTGCCCTTCTCCAAAAGTTTAATAAAGTTTTTTCTAGTTTATTAAATGATAGACCAACATATAAACTTCTACCTATAAAATAAATCAGAGATCAATATAAGAAAACACAATAATTTTGGTTACCCTGAGTAATATACAAATCATACTATCTTAATCTCTCGCTAGAAAACGTAAAAATATATCTAGTAGAAATTATTGAAAATGAATATGTTCATTTTGAGCCCGTTCTCATCTCAGGGCGTTTCTGGGGCGTCCCGTACAGACCGGAAGTAGCGGTAGCTAGCTAGCTATCTAGGTTTGTGATAAAGGTGTTGACAGCCCCACGAAGCCCCTACCCTTACCACAACCATCAGAAATGTTAGTACCTAATCCTGATGTGATTGATGCTTGAATATATAGATAATCATTTGAGCAAACTCTGTAGCTTGTGTTTCTAATTGTTTTTTCTGTCTGGCCTCGTACAATTGTATGTGTTGTGGTTGGTTTAGGCCAGTGGGGTCCGAGGACCTCTAGGGATTCTTGAGGGGTTTCCAGGGGGTCCCCAACAAAAAGTGAAATCTTTTAATTCAACCCGATCGCATCTCATGCATCACATATACACGCTTTGGAAAAGTCGTGTCTATTGTACACAAAACGACGATTTTGCGTGTATATGATACGCTGCAGTTTGCAATAGCGTTGCAACACAAAGGAGGTTAACCCTACCTGCTAGCACATCGGCCGTGTGCACAGCTGTAGGGTTAGCCTGTCGACATGCATATATTTACTGACTTAGGTTTAGGCCCTAACTAATGCCATGGTTGAGGTTAGGGAAGTTGCCTCAGGGGGCTGTCAACTCCTTAAACAAAACATCGCTAGCTAGCTAGCTAGTCACCCCGGGGCGTCTCATACACACGTACCTGGGGGCGTCCACCATACACGCACAAATTTGTGTACAATAGACACGGCTTTTCCAAAGCGTGTATATGTGACGCCTGAGCATGAGAACAGGCTGTTTGTTTTCACTATTATTCCATCCATAAGTAACACAGTTACAGAACATATGACTATTTTGGTCATGGGTTTTTATACTCTTTCTGTAAGAAAACATCTAAACACCAAAATCCTATCAGATGGGGAATCCTGGGACATAATCTTATCAAATGGGGACTGTGCTCTAATTTGTCAGTTTGGGGGTCCTTGACATGAAAACCAAAACAAGAACCACAGGTTTAGCCTAGTTTTTTTTAGTTTTTGAATGAAACATGCAATGTCTTGCAGTGTATGATGTATTTAATAAGATCATAAGTTAAAGTATTAACTTGTGCAACTGTATAATAACAACATTGTTGTAATTTTCAGCAAAATAGAACAAGATGTTATTCTCATAACATTTAATCAACCCACAGAATATGACTAACAGAAGCACAAAGATACAATCCTTCACGTCAGAATAAGACATTTACTTCACTGTTAGAATGTTTTCTCATACCTTTTTTTTTAACCACTTCCTTTTTCACTTCCCCTTTTGCCTGGAGGCAGAAAAAGAGGACCTGGGCCAGCAGATCGATTGCAGAAATGTAAAACATCATGTTTTGAGGGGGAGCTGTGTGTTAGAGCTGTTCTTGATAAATTAGGTTGTTGGCAAATGTCTTGCAGACACAGTGTAAGATATGAAAACACTGAGATATACAATATCAACAAGATCATCATTTATACCACGGATATTTGTGATACCTGTAATTGTGATGCACTGTGTGTTCGGACACCTTTTGTTTGAACTTTTTCAGTAATTTGACTTTCAGTAGCTCATCTTTTCGATCAGAACACACGGGCCAGCCTTCGCTCCCCACGCGCATCAGTGAAGCTGTCCATGATTTCCTTTTGTCGACCACTTTCAGTAGGTACTGACCACTGCAGACCAGGAAAACCCCACAAGAGCTGCAGTTTCAGAGATCCTCTGACCCTGGACAAAATGTTAAACTTGCTGCCTAATATATCCCACCCACTGACAGGCGCCATGGTAACGAGATGATGAGTGCAGTTCACTTCACCTGTCAGTGGTCATAATGTTCTGGCTGATCTGTGTGTATCAGAACACAAATAGTAACCAGACCCTGGAACATTCTCTTGATAAGAAGTTCTGCAGCGCCTCCTGTTGGACAGTTAGTAAAAATGTAAACTGTCACACAGGAAACAGGAAACTGAGCAGTCTTGTTGGTCCCTTTCATCAACCTGCTGGTACACTGCATATCTAACAAAACAGAAGAAAAGCACATTCAAAGTTATTAAACATTTCATTAATAAATTAACAGTTAAATTCTTCTTTAGGCCAGTGAGTGTATTTTCCTAAATGCTGGAGTCAGTAGGTATCAATGCTCCACTGAGCTCAACCGACATAGTTCCATTCAAAATCATCACAGAAAGACAAGACTCAAGTTTCAGCGTATTAGAAAGTATCCTACTGGCAGATAAACAAACATTACATTTTTAAACTGAAAGGCAGTTTCTGTGTTCTTCTGTTTCTGAAAAATAGCATGAAGTTCAATAGCAGACCTATATGAGGGTGGTAAGGGAAATGTAAAAGTTTACAGTGTGCCAGTTTTAAAAGTGTATAGTTTTTAGTGCTTTGATCACTAACAGTAAAACCCAACACACTGCCACTGATGGAAAATACAGTGATAAATAAATCTCAAGCTTCACAATATTGCATTTGTGAAATGTAGGCTAGGCAGCTTCAACTCTCCTGCTAATCCAGGAGCCATAACTGTCCCAGCTATTATAACAAAAAGTATCAGTTTAAGCACTGTACTGACATCAGTTTCACAGTTAGTTTATGATTTCATGCAGCTTCTTTTCTAAACCCTCTCAGTCAGCAAACAAATCCACACATTGATCTCCATCCCTTTTTCTATCATTTACAGAGAATACATTTGACATACAGTACATGTACACATAAATCAGTGGATAATTTACAAAATATTGTGAAAACCATTGAAAATGTGTCAAAATACAGAATCAACACAAAACCAAAATTTTTCAGTATTTTATATAAGTCTTATCAAGGTTTGTCTGAGGTTCTTCTGTGCACAAATATCCCACAAAGATCTGGATCAATACAGTTCACAGATGGATGTCAGGATAAAACACAAGCACACAAACATATTTAACCTGTGAGCAAATTATGTTTTCTAGGTCACCTGACATGTGTGTGTTTGGACTGTGGAAGGAAACTGAAGCTCCCAGAAACTCTTGTCAGCCCAGGAACAATATGTCAGCCTTGTTAACAAAAGTAGCTTTTTTATGTGCGGGGGGGAAGCCCTATTGTCCTCTACCAAGCTCTTTTGACCCCACATTCGACCACCATTTATAGTGGAAATGTCATCATTAATGTAAAGCGAAACACAAAATTCAGCCAGTGGGTAACAATTCAAAATATAAAATTATAATTGAATACAATACAGTAAGGCTCTCAGACAGTCTGTGTATGTGGATCAACTTTTCTCATTTGATAACATCCCTGCTGAGTTAATATATCTAGGAATAATAATAATATCTTTATTTATCGAGCACTTTTTATAAAACAAGTTACAAGGTGCTGTAACAAGTGCAAAGACAATAAAATCCGTAAAACACATTATAAAAGCAATAAAATACATGTGTAAAATAAATATTAAAAAATATAAAATAAAGTCAAATAAAATCAGGAAAGGCTCTCCTATAAAAGTATGTTTTAAGAAGGGGCTTAAAAGAGTTCACTGTGGACCTGATTTCCTCAGGCAGGCTGTTCCAGAGCCTCGGGGCCCTGACTGCGAACGCTCTGTCCCCTTTAGTTTTCAGTTGAGACTGTGGAACAGACTGCAGACTGCTGGTGTGTATGGGACTAAAAGGAGATATAGCAGGGCGAGAGCTTTAAATTAGTCTTCCTTCCTCTTTTCTGTCTTTTGTTTGGGGAAGTAATCTCTAAAAAAATTAGCATGTGGCATGTTTTCATCTCAACGATACATTAATTAATTAAATTCATTTATAAACCCCTGAACTTTATTAGTTCCTGTGTTTCAGCAGGTTTTCTGTTCATGTTCAAAACTTTCTGCACATTCAAAATCTCTCCTACCTATCTTTCCTCTGGCATTTTAAAAATAAAGTTAAAATACTTTCAATCTAATGAGCCATATTTTAACAGAAATCTACCTATCCTGTACTCTGCGGTGCACTGGCATACATTTTTGCTTTGTTGATGTGGTAGCATCCCCGTTAGACAGACACAGGACAGTTTGGGACTGTACTGGATGAGACAAGGAGGCAGAATACCCAAACAACCTGAACACACTTATATTAGAGGATCTGTTTTTTTGCACACGCATGAAAAATGTTTAACTTTTTAGTCCCCAGTACCCTTCTCAAGTATGACTGCAGTGTTTAAAGAGATAAAGCCTTCTTTTTGCAGATCCATCTGTTTCTGGCACCACAGCTCACTGATTTCCATCCTTCTGTCTGGACAGAAATTACACACTGACCGTTGGTAGCAGGTTGTTGTATCCAGGAGCTGAGGGAAGAACATGATGTTTAGATGGAGGTTGATAGATTTTATGCTTCAAAATGTTTATGAATGTGTCTCTTACTTTTCAGTCAGAACACTTCCATCGACCCACTTCCATTTCCCATCTTCAGCTCTCAGGCCAATCCAGTATCCCTTGGTTCCTGAACTGCCCCAACTGTTATTACTGATGAATGTCTGACAACAGAGAGACAGTTATCAGATATTTAAACACTATACTTAAATTAACACACTGTGGCCTACAGACTCAGTGTGTTCAGAACTACACAAAATAAACTTTCTTTGAATATAGGCTGTCTTCTCGTTACCTTCTCCGTTTGATCAGCTATAACAACCAAATCTGAAATCTTTCCTCTGCAGTTTTCTCGAGCTTCTTCCCAGGTTTTCTGACCAGAAACATCAGGGTCATTAATCCCATAGCAGCTGGACTGGGAGGGTAACCAGCCATCCTGACAAGCTTTACACTGTCTGTCTGAAACAACAGAGACAAACCGATAAACATTGTTACTGCGTTGTGAAATTATTATTATTTTTTACTTTAATCATGGGATCTGAACATACTTTGGTTCTTTGGTTTTGGGCAGTAGGCATCAATGCTCCACTGAGCTCGACTGACGTTGAGCTCATTCCACTTTGTCTCCAGCTTCATTTTTTGTGATGTCAGGTTCTGGTTTTCTGCAGACAGCTTGGTGTTTTGTGATGTCAGGTTCTGGTTTTCTGCAGACAGCTTGGTGTTTTGTGATGTCAGGTTCTGGTTTTCTGCAGACAGGTTTGTGATGTTACTTTTTAAGACAGTATAGGCTTGTGTCAGGTTCTCCAACTGGACTGTCAGATTGTTGTGTTCCCTCCTCAGGTTTTCATTTTCTGAGCTGAGTTTGTTGTTCTGGTTTGTCAGGTTTCCATTGAGAGCCAGTAGAATCGTTTGGTTTTCTTTCAGCTGATTCTGCTCACTTTCATGAATTAATGTAACAACTGCAAATAGGAAATAAGCTTCTTGAGTGATAATAATGATGCATTTTTGGAAGCTTTGTGTTTTTTAGACTTATGGGAGCTGTAGGACTTCCTAAGACCTTTGGTTCCTACTGAACCCTTAAATATTTGACACTGCCTAAAATAGCCAGGCTCTTTCAGCTGTGCACTAGCAGGCCTTTATGGCAGCAGGACTGCGTCTGTGGGACAGTGAAGGAACATGTCACCCAGTGCAACACTGTGACTCGCTGAAGTGTTTTTCATAGTTTGTAGACATTTGTGGGTTTCTATGGCACAGCTGGATAAGTCTTTGATACACAGATACTTTTGTTTGTAGGATCAATTCAGTGTTGGTTTGGGGCTGATCATGGAATATGTTGACAGTGGAAAAAAATATAGAATATCATTTGACTCATTGTTTAATGCCTTTTATGCATACATTACATACACACTAATGCTGTCACCAGTCTTCCTCTGCTGTGTTGTGGCTTCTGTTTGTATATGAAAGATATATTCAATCAACTCAACTTGTTTTTCAAATTTGTCTTTTATTTTCTTTGGCTTTATTAGTTGGCCTGATGCTTTCCGAGATGCTGCACTCTACATTACAATGGGCAGAATATGGAATAAATGGTTGAACATTGTCAAAAATAAAAGTCACATTACCAAGAACAGTCTTATTGCTTACGTACTGTCTACTGTCTATATTGTGTCGAGAAATGAACTTTGTTTGTAACAGATTTAGACTAGAGGCAGAAATCTATAGGTAAAACAACCTGTTAATAGATCCTCTGGTTATGGTTATAGTAATGTTACAGAGGAAAACTGGTGCTGTTATTCTTTCTAAGTTCTGCCTCATGTCTGAGTCTGAGGTACTGCATAGACTACCTGTTTTGTATACTTACTGTAGACACAGACTGCTATGATGCCCAACAGCAAAATGACACAAAGAATCCCCAAACAACAAGCCACCTGCTGATAGCAGCGACCTCTGCTGTTTGTTTTCTTGTCTGGCAAAAGTCCTGCTGAGAATAAACAACAGATATAATTAAGTCTGAGTTAACCAAATCAACTGGGTACTTTTCAAAGTTACAGGATTTTTACACCAAAAAAACTTTTTTATATTAAAAAGTCAGTAAGTAAAAGACAGTAAAGATACCCACATGATTTGACTAACTCAGACTGCTAAAAGCTTCAGATGAACTTTGGAACACATTTCTATACAGAACAAAGACTTTACATTTTGTCTCCCATCTCTTACAGTCGAAGCACATTACAAAGGAAATTATTACAGGCAGCAAAACATGTTTCAGTATTCACATGGGAACCTTGTTTAATGATGGACTTTAAAATGTGTGAACCTGTTTTTTTGGCTTTCAAATGGCTTTTTGCCATTGTGCTAGAAGTAGTGGTAGCATTAGAAGCAGTAATAGAAGAATTGGTGGTAGTTGTAACAGCAGAATTTCTGTAGTTTTAGTGGCTGTAAAATGTTGCAGTTGAAGCACTCGTCAAACACTTGGCAAAATACAGATTAGAAAATCTCAAAATATAAATTCCCTACTATGGCTTAAACTCCAAAAACAATGGATCCTACACTTCCCATAATTCAAGGTGATTTTATCTTTTCACTAGAGCTTCCCTGCCTGTGAAACAGCAACATCTTTTTGAACTCCACACCCCCAGTTTGTAAGTCTTTGTTAAAATTAGCAGTCTCTAAGTTATTAACAAAGCTCCTACTGTTTTCACAGGCTGAATAATAGTTGTAATAATGATAAATCTGAGGTAGTATTTGTAGCAGTAATAGTAGTATTAATAGATATACTCTGTGTAGTCCTTGTACTCCTGGACCTTAGCGCTGCTTTTGACACCATTGATCACAACATCATGTTAGACAGACTGAGGCACTGGGTGGGGATCTCTGCTACTGCCCTAGAATGGTTTATTGCAACAGCCTTTTCACCTGTTTAACCCAAAAATCTACTGATCGACTCCAGACTGTCCAGAACTCAGCTGCCAGGCTTTTAACCAGAACAAAGAAATATGACCACATTACTCCTATTTTAGCTTCATTACACTGGCTCCCAGTATGTTTTAGAATTGACTTTAAAATTCTATTGATCACTTTTAAAGCTCTTCATGGCCTCTCGCCTTGTTATATTTCTGACCTTTTAGTCCCATATACACCAGCACGTACCTTGAGATCCTCGGGCAGAGGTCTGTTGTCTGTTCCAGAGTCTCGACTGAAAACTAAAGGGGACAGAGCGTTTGCTGTCAGGGCCCCGAGGCTCTGGAACAGCCTGCCCGAGGAAATCAGGTCGGCTGAGTCAGTGAACTCTCTTAAGTCCCTTCTTAAAACATACTTTTATAGGAGAGCCTTTCCCGATCTTATTTGACTTTATTTTATCCCTTTTATTTTATTGTATTTTACTAATTTTATATTTATCTGTATTTTAGTCTTTTCAATGTTTTCATGCTTTTATCTTGTATTGTTTTTTTGTATTATTGTCTCTTGGGTATTATTGTCTTTACACTTGTTAAAGCACTTTGTAACTTGTTTTTGAAAAGTGCTCTACAAATAAGGATTATTATTATTATTACTCTACTGAATGCTGTGTACATTTTTCTTTACAACTTACTGTTTGTGTCAGCAGTCTTTTCGGTTGTTTTGCTTCGCACCTTCACATCACTGTACACAGTTTCCTCCTCCTTATTAGCTGAAAGGTTGAAGAACACAATCTTGTGGTTAATTGCTTCATTTTGTTTACATTTTAAAAGCTTTTACAGGTTTATTAGATTATTTGAATTTATTGCTATTGTCCCAGTATCTTCTGTTAGAATGAGAAATAATTCAGTGTTTTTCCCAGAACTGTATTCTGTGTAGACCTTCACAGGGCAGCTAAAACCCAAATTAACCAACTCTCACATTCAGCAGATCATGAAAGGGGAAACTCTGCATTTTATGGGAAACATTTTTAAAATAACCAGTTCATTACGAATGCTTCTGCCTGGTTTTAGGAAGCTGTGGTCAGTGGAATCTCCAGTGTGGGTTACATAAATGGGCACTATCAAACAAAAGCAAACTAAAACTCATCCGTTTACATCCAATATCTTCAATATGTATATGACATATATGACAAATAGATGTTTTGGAGACTACAACAATTGATTTTAATTTATCTTAGTTCAGATGACACAACCATTCTAAACAGCTGAACATTTATAGAGAGTTCACCACAATTTAAACAGTTTACAAAACAGCATTTCCAAAATGTCATGCTGCTCATTCTTTCTCTGGATACATCAACTTCTTTTGCCAATATAGTAAATGGGGCCCCAATTTTTAACGTTTTCATCGTTTGCACAAAAATGTTACTAACAGGATAATAAAATATGACTTTAATATTATTTCATGTGTATTTACTGTCCAGTTTTACTGGAGAAAATACTAGTGTAAGAAATCACATTATGATGATGATCACACAGAGATCAGCCACCTAGAACAACCAGCTGGGCCGTGTGGGGGCCCAGGCAGATTGATGTGTAAACAAGGATACAGTATCTGATCCATATCAATGACATGATGGGTTTTAAGAAATCTTTCTTGATTTAAAAAAACTGAACTTACCTTCAGGTGGGGAACGCTTGTTAGTTTTGAATACAACTGAAGCGTAGCTGACCTCCTCCTCCGCCATCGCTACAGTCCTTCTGTTGAGTTCTATCTGACTTGTAGACAGAATAACCACAGTTGTTAAACCACAGAGCATCGTCTTGGGGAACTGCTTGTTTCCTTTGTTTAGCTGGGTCTGTCACTCACAGCCTTAATATGAGCAACTTCCGTTTTTAGTTGAGAAAGGAAAAAATATGAAACCTTAAGAGAAAAACACTTTCCCAAATATACCCCGAATTCAGACACACAGAAACTTCCCTATTTACTGGGAGAAATGCCAGAATGACAAATCATTGCAACAAAATATATCTCCTCATGCCACGAACTGAGGACAACCAGTGGAAACTCGGACTAGACTGATAAATTTTATAAACAATTGTACTATAAAATTTTAAATTATTATTATTTTTATTTTTGTCATTTCAGTAATTGTTCCTTTATTTGTTTTTAGTTTTTTAGTTTCAGATTTGACACTGATTTTTTAGTTGTATTTTTTGTTTCTTGTCTATTAATACTACACACGTTTACTGTTTAATTTATTTATTCTTTTTTTTTTTTTTTTTAACAAATATACCCGAATATATAATTTATATATAATGACCGATCTACACCAAACTCGGGGACCTTATCTGGCACGACTTCCAGGGGGCTGTATGAAATTTGGTGTCAATTGACCTCTAGGTGGCACTTCAATCCTCAGTCAAATTCCTCGTATGTGAACACATACCTGGCAATAAAGCTGACTCTGATTCTATTAACCGTATATGAAATAACACTCCCATAGACATACATTTATTTTATATTTCTGGAACCACAAATCCCTTTGATTTCAAACTCTGGTCGTTTATTCACCGCGGGCCCCGAAGCCACGGTGAGGTGCCCGAGTCGCCTTGGTTTACTTTCTGTTTTGTGTTTCACAAGGTAAGGAGGGCCCCCGAGCACTATACCACTAGAAACACTTAAATACCGTTAATGTTACTGTCTGTGTTCTAAACATATGCAGAACACTCGTTCCCAATGTGATTATGTAACTGATAGGACCTGTTCTGTCTAATGTCTAAAGTCGAAAGTCTAATGTTGTCACAATGTCCATGCTAATAGTTAATTGTGTGGTATGGGTGAGCTAGCTTTCCTGAGCATGCTTAACAGGGTAAAAGATTTGTTGTGGCTCTTTAAATTATTGCTAGCTCTGGAATATGGAATCTGAAGTTTATTTTATTTTCGTAATTGATTCATGAGTCAATAAGTGTCTTGGAAACTGATTGAGTTTCTGTTTTGTGTTTCACAAGCCAATAAACCGTTAGAGTTTGTTCTGCCTCTACCACCACTGGGTGTCCCGTTCCCTGTCTCTCCTTCTTGCCCCAGGACACTTCACCTAACACAACGCAGAGGCTGCTTTGGGGCTCACTGCTGGGAAGATAGGGTTACAATTATAATTTTATTTTTTAACATACACAAACACACATTTTTGTTTTACTTTATTTAATGAATGAACTTAACTGTATGAAATGAATTGTTCTTTTGTAATTTATTTTTTACATTCATGCCAATGAAGCTAGATTGAATTGAATTGACAGGCTTTATGGAGACTCTGAACAATTTGCAGGTTCCTCTCTTAGATCACATCATATCTTGATATTCAACATTTCATTATTGTGGCCCTTTCAAAGTAGAAGAACATTCATTCAATCCGCATTCGATGATACTAACACTTTAGCTCCACCTGTAGTAGTCACGATATTTTTCTAAAAACTGGTCAATAGACAGACTCCCAGTGTCAATCTAAAACTGTATTACACACACACACATAGATCTGTTTGAGTGTCTTTTTTGTGATATTCAATTCAAATTTATATGAATGTAGCTGGGTGGTAAATCTAGTCATAGGCGATTTTCCACTTTGGTTTAGTATAGTTCTTAAAGTTTTGTAAAGTAAAACTTTGAATAATAGCCCGGGCTTTAATTTACTAAAATCACTGAATTGACCCTGCCTATATTTGAGACAGGCGTCCATATGAGACAGGCCTTTAATTCCTTTTTGCACAAAACTGAAACTATTATGAAGAAGTTTATTTATTTCAAACAGAATAATACTGTTGTAAATATTATCAAAAAATATCAAGTACATGTCATTTATTTGATCTAGCTCTGACAGACTGCTTATGCACTTTTATTTTGAAGGCAGTAACCTAACGAAAACAACAACACGGTGCAGGATGAGAGAAGTGTGGCAGACAGAGAGCGATGGACTTCACTTTTGATGGGTGGACCCTTACAGACTAAAGGACTATAAATAATCAAGGATGGGACACATTCGGACTAAATGAGTGGACTTAACAAGCGCTTCAAAGTTAACGTGAGTCAGCAGTTTTTTCCCCTTTTCCTCTCTTGTAGCCGGGCAGGTTACACTGGTAAATCTAGAAGAATGAGACTTTGGGTCTTGTTTTTTCCGTTAAATGAACGTAACAGTGGTATTGTGGAGAATGTAACCGATCTAACGATGTTCAGCATGTCCATATTGATCATATGAGCAGCTTAGAAGCAGCTTAGAAGCAGCTAAAGCGGGCGACCCCGCGGGGTTTAAGAGGTTTTATACATCCAAAGAACTTCTATAAAAACCAGACCAGGCGTTTAATTGAGGCGTTTATTTGTCAAAATGTGTTCCCACACCAGGCAAGTAAAGGAGGTAGGCGGCTATTTGGGATTTGGCTATCAATTGAAGTTTTACGGTAATGTAAATACATGTGTTGTTTGTTTTGTTTGATAGAAACATTGTTTTAAATTTAAAGTAAGTGTGAAGTAGATTCTAAGTGGATTTCCACAGTCCTACATGTGATGGCAGACTTTCATCACAAGGTGGCAGCATTGAGTAATATTGTTGTTGTTCCACCAAGTGCATTGTGGTCTTTCTTCCTGTTTAATGTGTGCAGTACTTACGAGGGATTGGTGCAGAAACTTCATTGTGTAGAATAGTAGGTAAATGCATGTATATCTTGTTAAATATTCATGTACAAGTGTATGAAATGGCATCACCTGTCAATATTTTAACACTGGAATTGTGTGCTTGGATTTTGGGCGCCAATCGTCGACCATTGTGTACTAAATTTCATGGTAATGCTAGCGTGCATTAAGTCATACCGTGATATTGTACTCTGTTACTCAAAAAAATGTTACAGGTTTATATTAAGTGTAACTCTGTTTGAAGATAATAGACGTTTAAAGTGCCTTGAGTTGTGCGATCTCTGGGAAGTTCCACGTGGGTTTGGTGGAACTTGGGGAAGTGTAAGTGCCATTTACAGTTGCACATTTTATAAACCGATGTTGATGTAAGTGGGTGTATGGTTGTTATCATGATTTATTTTATGTTTTCTGTTGATAGTCATAGCCCACTGCTATTTTTTCTGTATTTTATTTTATTTTGCCCTCTCCTTCCTCCTAAAATTTTTGGCTGTTAGAAACTGTTACAAAATTCAGCATTTGAGCTGGTTACGTGAAAGACTCAGTAGCATACCACTCTGTGAAATGAACCTGCACATGTGGTCAGCAATAAACCTGGAGCTACAAGAACCCCTTAAGTAATTGTGTCCTGTGTGGCATCTAATTCCACAGGATACATGAATGTTAATAGTACAGTACTGCCAAAGCTTCAAGGATACACACACATGCACACACAAAATACACAAGCCTCTTGGATGATGCTGGTGGTTCTGTCCAGTAGCTGAGGAAAGAACCAGATGGTTAGATCCCAGCTGACAGATTTTATTATTCATGGTGTTTATAAAATCATCTTACTCTTGTGTCTTGATGATCATGGATCCATCCAGGTTCTCCTGTGCATGATTAGAATGCTATACATTTAGATCAAAGGAGTTCACATTTATCATGCACATTTCAAAGTATGTTCCAAAGTTGTTTAAGCACATTTAAGAAATTACAAAATACATTACAAAATAAATTTCAATCTAGCGTTTTAATTTCTGTTTGAATTAAATCTTTTTCAAATATAAGTAATTAGATTACTTCTCAGGGGGATGTTATATTTTAAACTTCTCTCTAAAAATCCCTCTGACTAAAAGAATGAGGTTTACAGTGTACCAATGTTATATTTCACAGAGAAGAGAATGGTTTTTAGTTCATCTGATGACAGAGAGACAGTTATCAGATATTTAAACTTATACTTAAATAAACACACTGTGGCCTACAGACTCAGTGTGTTCAGACAGAAAATACATTTTCCATTCATACAGGCTGTCATAAAAGTGTTCACAGTGTTCTCATTACCTTCTCCATTTCCTCAACTATAACAGCCAATTCTGAACTGTTTCCTCTGCAGTCTTCTCGAACTTCTTCCTAGGTTTTCTGACCAGAATCATTAGCACCATTAATCGCATAGCAGCTGGATTCGGAGCGTATCCAACCTTTCTGATAAGCGTTCTGTCTGAAACAACAGACCAACCAATAAACAACATTACTGCGTTGTGATATTGTTATTAATATTGTTGGTTATTTTTTTATCTTAATTATGGGATCTGAACGTACTTTGGTTTTGGATGTAAAGTTACATAAATTAAAGTAATAATTTTAAGGTAACTTCATGAGTAAGGCAGACACTTTGTTGATGAACAGCAGTATTACAGAGCTGGTGAATATCTATTCACTGCTAGAGTTGTTCTTAAGTGTCTTGCCTGCTTAAATAAAGGTTTAATTAAAAAAATAGAGTAGTTGGGGACAGTACAGCTAATGAATAATTCTGATTTATATGGGTTGTGTTATGGAAAGCTGCTGCCAATATTTTCACACTCAATTTGCGTATAGGGTTATAGGTTTTTATCTTCAGAATCTTTCAGTTTTCTTCTTCATGCCAAACTGCAGAAGTGTTACAATATCATTTCCTCAAATATATTCTTAGACATGGGCCTGTGAAACAGTATTCAGAACACCAAACCTTTGGGGACTTTGACATACTATCTTTTATTTAAAAAAAAGGACATTAATAAAAGCAAAACTGTATGTCAGCTTTTATATTGCTTGTGTGTGCAATGCCTCTTAATCGGAAGCAGAGGAAGTTTTAAAATGTGATTCGTCATTGAGGCCAGGCTCAGTCATAGAGCAACAGTGCTGAAGCAGGCCTTCCTCAAACTTGATCTT